CTCTGACCTCAGAGTGCCGACGCCTGATGTTTCTCAGCTGGAACAAACACATGTAACCCCAGAGAGCGAGCAGCAGAGCGAGCAGCAGAGCGAGCAGCAGAGCGAGCAGCAGAGCGAGCAGCAGAGCGAGCAGCGACGCTCCATGCTCATCAGACCCTCTGCTCTTCATCGCCATCGTGACTGCAGCTGCAGTTTCAGAGCAAACCTCTATTTAACTGTGAAAGGAGGAAGTGTCATTGGGTCAAAGGTCGGCTGTCTCGAAGCGTCTCTCTGAGAGTGGTTCAAATTCATGCACACCTCGCAGGTATTAGCCTGATTTAAGGGGTCAAAGGTGAAGCTGACAGAACAAGTGACACAGACAGGAAGTGACACGGATGGGTAGATCAGCTAAAAGGAAACTTGCGGCTCAGGAGCGATCAGGAGCCATTTCCATGGTTACACTCGGCACCCTTTCTCCCACCTGTGCTGCTTCCTGTTACCTGAATCATTCCAGCGCTTCACGCCGACGCGTCCACTTACTTGCCGTGCAGCGTCCTGTGCTCGCTCTCCAGCGCCCTCTGTTTGCCCTTCAGCGCTGCGTGCTGACTGATCAGCTGCTCGTACTCGTGAGCCTGCCTCTCGTGAACGCTCAGCAGGCGCTCGTGATCGCTGAGCACGCCCTCTCTGGCTCGCCACGCCTCCTCGCGCTGCCGCTGCCACGACTCCACCTCCGTCTCCAGGGCGGTCACCTGGCCTTGCAGCACGGCATTCTGGGCCATAAGAGAGGCGCTCTGAGAGGAGAGGGTGGAGTTCTCCACCTGAGAGGACAAAGAGATGAAGCGTGAGCGTGATGGCCTGAGTGTAAACTGGGTCGAAGTTACACGTGCGTGAGCATGCCTGCAGCTTCGCCGTCTGCGTGTGCAATGCCGAGTTCTGCTCCTGCAGCGTGGTGGTGTGCCGCTGCAGCGCCGCCATCTGGTTGTTGAGGGAAGTGTTCTGGTTCTCCAGCTGCTTCAGCTGCTCCTTCAGCAGACTGCTCTCCGTCTGCAGGGAGGCGTTCTGGACCAAACAAACACAGTTTCACAGCAGTCACACAAACTCATCCATCAAATTAGCACAAAGCGTTTTTCACGTGTGAGAACATTTCTGAGGTGCTGAACAGGAAACGTTCCTGTGCTGCTATAATCATTAACAGTGATAACATCATTATTAATGATGATGATCAGAAACAGCGGCTCACGTTCTTCTCCACGTCGATCAGGTGATCTTTGATTCGCAGCAGTTCGGCCGTGGCGCTGCGGTCAGCCGCCGGGTGCTGCTGGGAGTTGTGGTTTACTTCCTTGTGGTGCTGATGTGAGGCGGACGCCGTCTGATAAGCCTGCAGCGGGAAAGAAAAATGTCAGACTGTCGCACAGCTTCAACTTTACAGAGGCAAAAGCGAGGGCGCGTTTCCTCACAGCTTCCAGCTCCGCATGAAGCGTCTTGTTGAGGGCGCTGCTTTCTTCCAGCTTCTTTTCCAGGCTGGAGATTTTCTCCTCCTTGACCTTCATGGTCTGCTGGACGGTTTCCTCCAGCCGAGACTCCAGCAGCCTGTACCTGCTGACATTCAAACACATCCGTGAGTCCCTCGTCAGAGATCCGCTTTAAAGTGAACAGGTGAGGTCGCGGGGTCGTACCTGTCCTCCAGCGTGTGCTCCTGCTGCAGCAGCTTCTCCCGGTTCAGTCCGATCTTCTCCAGCTCTTCGTTCAGTCGCTCCAGCTCGACCTTCTGCTGCTGAACGCTCAGCTTCTCCGACACCAGCTCCTGCAAAACCGCAACACAAACACCGCTGAAGGTCACGGGCGCTCGGCATCAGGCTCAGAGCGGCCGACGTCGCCGAGCGTCTGCAGTACAGCTGGGACATATTATACCTTTCACGGTAACACCGGTGTAATTTTAGGCAACGATAAGAAAATGAAACATCGCGATAGAACATGGGTAAAACACGCATGTGCGGTGCCTTTGTTTTCATACAAACATGGCGTAAAAAAGCACGGCGGTGGAGAACGAGAAGGCAAACAGACGAACCAGAACTGGTTTGTAAAAGTGGAGCAACCGCAGTGATGTGGAACTGGTTTGGTTTTCGTCAGAAAGCCACCAAAGCACAATGTTTTGTAGAACATGCCAGTGGGCCATCGTGGTGAAGGGAGGAAACACCACAAACCTATTTCATCATCTGAAGCAGAAGCGCTTCGAGTACAACACAGCTGTCAACGAAGAGGCTTCAACAAGCGCGGTGGTGAGACCAGAGAAGCTGACTCAACAAACAGTCGGCTTTAAATAGCTGCAGGCCTTAGCCAACGCTGGGGGGAACAAACTAACGCAGAGACGCATCGTTTAGGATATGATGCCCACTCAGAGTGTGGGGGAGAAGGTTTCACACAGGTGCATTTGCTCTGTCACATGTTTGTAGCTTTAATGCAGATAAAACAGCTGCTTGTTCAAGTGGAAATAAACTGATGATTTTTTTGCACTAATAAAGTTGAGTTATAAAGTATTTAGTCTCGCATCAGTTACATGGTGAGTTACATCGTTTGGCCACACTGCCCCGCCCCACTCTGCAGGTTTCCAAAGAGCCAAGAATGAACAGCTGACACAAGTTACAGTCTGTAACATGTGCGTTTTCAGACTTGCTGATTGGTTGTTCAGGACTCGATGTGGCGCTCACAGGAACCTTCCACACTGATGCTGTAAAGAACACCCCAGTGTTCAGTACCTAGCAGTGCAGCGCCCCCTGCTGGCCTTCTGGTGTATATGTCGGTAAAGCTGACCGAGCGCCTCGTCTTTGATTGAGATTCAGATTTTGATACATTGTTTTCATTTTACTGCTTTTTTTGCAGTTCTGAGAGCAAAGAAACTGATGAACCCTTTAAAGCCCACCACAGAACCAAGTCCACCAGAGCTGACCTTCATATTTTTACCTGCTGTCGTTCCATCTTTCAAGCTGCTACACATCAATACAAGTTTTAATAACATGTATGCATTAAGTCCGTAGTAACTATATACCCTGCCTCTTTGTTTTTACACATATTTACAAACACAGCAAACTGACTGAGTGTCTCTGTAGTTTTATTTTTGAGCTACACTCACTTTTATAAACTTCAGGAGAAACTCAAACTTAAACAGTGCAGTTTAAGTTCAAGTCAAACACGCTCCTCTGAAAGGCCCTGTAGGAAAAACTATGTTTCCCACAAGAAAAAAATGACGTCACTTCCTGACATGCCATAGTAAGAAGTGCAATGAACAGCTGATCGGATCTGCAAAGCGTGTTTCTGGATTATGACGTTTTTTACGTGCCTTCTGCAAAGGACGAGCTGAATGCATGTTATGGAAGTGCGGCTCCTCCGGTCTCACATGCAAAAACATTCCTGCGACAGCTTATGCAGCTGCAATTCTCCCGGGATTTAAAAGTAGTTACTCGGAGCGTGTGCGCTCTGATGGCAGCCTCGCGGTCTCACAGGCGTCAGCAGCAACGAGGAGACCGACACAGACCCACGAGTGACGCTTCCACAGCTCACCTGCTCAGATCCAAACTCTGAACTAGAATTTAAATAACCCGCCCAGCGGCGCCACGGACACCTGCTTAAACGAAGCTCCTCCACCCGCCCCTTCTCTCACCTCTCTGAGCGTGGCCAGCGTCCTCTTGTCGATCGTCGCTTGTTTCTGAAGCTCCTTGTTCTCTCGCTCCACCTCCTTTGCTTTCACCGCCGCCTCCTTCATTCGCTCCACCTCCTTTTTGAGAGCTCCTCCCTCCTTCGTGACCTCGGTGAGCCTCCTGGTTTTCTCCTCCAGCTCCGTCTCCTTCCCCTCCAGGAGCGTCCTCATCCTCCAGCTCTCCTTCTCCAGCTGCTTCCGGCCCTTCTCCGACTGCTCCAGGTCCAGCTGGAGCTTCTTCCTCTCCTCGTCTCCTTCCACTCGCCTCCTCCGCTCCTCCTTCAGCTCCTCCACCTCCCTCTTCAGGTCCTCCTCTCTGCTTTCTGCCTCCTGCCGCCTCCTCTCTTCCTCCACCCTCTCCTCTTTGCTCTTCTCCATCTCCTCCTCTATGTGATGCTTCTCCTGGTTCAGAGCTGTCAGGTTCACCTCCAGCCTCTCCGCTCTCTTCCTCTCTCCCTGCGCCTCCTCCCCAGCTTGATCCAGCCTCCTCTGCAGCTCCTGCATCTCCCTCTGTGCCTCCTGGAGCTCCTCTTGCACAGTGGTGAGGCGGGTGGATGAGGAGCGCAGGCTCTCCAGGGAGCAGCGGAGCTCCAGGTTCTCCTTGGACAGCAGTCCGTTTTCAGCCTCCTGCTTCGTCAGCCGCTGCAGCTCCCGCTGGCTCTCCTCCGCCTCCCGCTTCAGCCTGTGCACCTCCTGCTCCAAGGAGGTCACCTGTTTCTCCAGAGCCTCGGAGCGCTCACTGCACGCCCGCAGAGACGCCACCTGGAGGCGACACGGCACGTTACACTTATGCTGCAGTGAGACTCGTCAGAGAGGAGGAAGCGTTTACGTACCTCTCTGCTTAGCGCCTCCCGGCTCCTCTCCAGCCGCGCCACCTCTCGCTCCGCCTCCTCACACCGCCCCGCCCGCTCCCTCAGCCTCTCTGCCTCCTCATTGGATACTTTGAGCTGTGTTTCCAGGCTGGCCAATCGGGAGCTGGTGTCGGTGATGCTCTGGTGCAGCAGGCGGTTCTCTGATTCCACCTCGCGGACCCTCGCCACGCTGTTAGACTGAGCGCGCTCCTGAAGGGACGCCACTGCCTCCGACAGGTGCTGCTTCTCGCTCTCCAGCTCTGAGATCTGATTGGACAAACAGAAGTCAGCCGGTCTCTTCTGCGACTGACAGTGAAGGAGATGTTACCTGAGCGTGCCACACACCTGTCGGTCCTTCTCCGCCTTCAGAGCGTGCATGTCGCGCTCCAGACTCTGTTTCTCCTTCAGTAGCTCCTCCCCCAGAGCCTCCATGTCCTGATTGGTTATTTTCTCCTGGTCCAGTAAACCCTGCAGACGCTCCAGCTGAAACAAACGCAGGTGTTGCTTTTAGAGACAGGGGAGTGTTTCAAAGCTCACTGAGCTTGAATGATGCTGCAGGACGTTAAAACTGGACAAAAACAGTTAAAACTGTGCCGTTAAAAGACGAGACGAGTTTGTTATCAGGGTTTCACGTCGTCATGTTTACTCTCTGAAAGTTCCCCTGCAGCACAGACGGAAACACAAATACTGGACGAATGAAGGTTTACTGAGTGATGTTCATGTTTGCGTGCACGACTGGTGCACCTGGAGTCAGGTGGAGACACCGGCTTGTGTGTATGAGTTTTACTGTAAACCTTAACCGATGAGATCCATGTTTCTTTATTGATCAGCTGTGTTATCAATCAGTAAAAGTTACATGTATGTGTCTCATATCAGCATCTAGACTAAACGCTACACGCCTGCAGGACTGAGACGCGATGCATCACTGTTACTGTAAAATCAAATCACCGCTCAGATGGCAGAAATCAAAGTTTATTAAACTTTAATTAAAAAACAGAATCCCCACAGCAGCGCCTCGAGCCGGTGAACAGCAGGAGTGACTGTGAGTCCCACCTTGTTGCTGAGACTCTGGTTCTCCCGGTCCAGCTCCTGCGTGTGGAGCTGCTTCTCCTGCAGGAGGTGGTTCTCCTCCTTCAGCCTCTCTATGGACGCCTGCAGCTCCCGGTTCTCCTTCTCCAGCTTCAGCATGCGGCTGGAGACGCACTCGTTCAGCTCGTCGACCAGAGACTTACGGGCTGGGCGGAGAGAAGAGAGCCGGTTACCAGTGTACAGACGGGTGGAGGACAGACAGGCTGAGGACAGACAGGTGGAGGCTCACTCTCGGTATTGTCGTGGTTCTTGGTGAGCTGCTCGAGCTCCCAGCCCAGGTGAGCCGACTCGTTCATGCTCTGCTTCTGTCCGATCTCCAGCAGCATGTTCTCCTCCACCAGCTCCTCCAGCCGTCGCCGCTCGCTGTCCCGCTCCTGCAGACAGGTGGAGGGACAGACAGGTGGATGATGATTTTTACAGAGACCAGCGTTCTTCTGGTTTCTGCCCACTCTATTAATTGTTTATGCTTTTCAGGGTCCCAGGGGGCGGAGCCTATCCCAGAGGTCACAGGGGGAGGGGCGGTGTATAGACTGGGCAGGTGGCCAGCCCATCACAGACGTGTGTGCTGTTATACTGCATTTTATTATAGTTTGTTTATCACCTGAGCACGCTGATGCCATGTGACCGTTTGTCACAGGAAGTGGGGATTTTTTACAGGTAAAGGGGGCGTGATCGTAAACGATGATGATGAGAACTTCAGAGGCTGACCCTGACAGTAAGGGGAGGTGCTCTCATCCTACGTGTGTTAATATACGTCACACACCACCCAGCCACCATCTCGTCACAGAGAGAAAGCTTTGTGTCAAGAACATCTGGAAACATCTGGCGCGGTCACTGTGTGAACCATGTGACGGCGTGGGTCTGGGTCGTACCATCTCCAGGTCGTGGATCTTCGCCCGCAGTAGCAGGTTGTCTTTCTCCAGCGTGTGCAGTTTGTCACAGCGCCCCCGTGAGGCCGACAGCTGCTCCTCCAACAAAACCTTCGTCTCCAGCAGGGTCAGGTTGTCCTCGCGGAGCTCCTGGAGCGCGCACGCAAGCACACACACGCACGC